AAGTCTGGCAGCAGTACATTTTCATTGGGCAGACCAGTAAGGGGGAAATATACACATGACCGACTGCATGTGTTGGTGATAGTATGCAAATTCTGAGGAAAAATCGAGAAATTCTCGTTGGTTTATGCACACTTCTACCCCAAGTTTGGAAACTCCTGAGCTCAGCTACTGAGGAAAACGATTACACATATTCATACTCCAACACTGTATAGGAAACTCCTGAGCTCAGCTGGTGAGGAAAGCGATTACATATATTCATACTCCAACACTGTATAGGAAACTCCTGAGCTCAGCTGGTGAGGAAAGCGATTACATATATTCATACTCCAACACTGTATAGGAAACTCCTGAGCTCAGCTGGTGAGGAAAGCGATTACATATATTCATACTCCAACACTGTATAGGAAACTCCTGAGCTCAGCTGGTGAGGAAAGCGATTACATATATTCATACTCCAACACTGTATAGGAAACTCCTGAGCTCAGCTGCTGAGGAAAGCGATTACATATATTCATACTCCAACACTGTATAGGGAACTCCTGAGCTCAGCTGGTGAGGAAAGCGATTACATATATTCATACTCCAACACTGTATAGGAAACTCCTGAGCTCAGCTGGTGAGGGAAGCGATTACATATATTCATACTCCAACACTGTATAGGAAACTCCTGAGCTCAGCTGCTGAGGAAAGCGATTACATATATTCATACTCCAACACTGTATAGGAAGCTCCTGAGCTCAGCTGCTGAGGAAAGCGATTACATATATTCATACTCCAACACTGTATAGGAAACTCCTGAGCTCAGCTGGTGAGGAAAGCGATTACATATATTCATACTCCAACACTGTATAGGAAGCTCCTGAGCTCAGCTGCTGAGGAAAGCGATTACATATATTCATACTCCAACACTGTATAGGAAACTCCTGAGCTCAGCTGCTGAGGAAAGCGATTACATATATTCATACTCCAACACTGTATAGGAAACTCCTGAGCTTAGCTGCTGAGGAAAGCGATTACATATATTCATACTCCAACACTGTATAGGAAACTCCTGAGCTTAGCTGCTGAGGGAAGCGATTACATATATTCATACTCCAACACTGTAGTTGTTTATATATTGCAACATGGCAGGATTGAACCACAGACCAGACAGGACAACTAAACGCACTACTTTCAGACTACGACCTGATCAGCTTGAGGTGGAAGATGTGAGAATTGGCATTAATTTCGTGGCGCGTGACGCTGTCATTGCATAGATATCGTACCGACCATCATCTCGGCAAGGGAGGCTTCATACATGTAGACATTTTCCGACAGCAGCAGCGGAAGCAGAAGAAAATTCACTCGGTAAATTGGGAGGAAAAATTGGTAAAGTGGGAAAAGAAAGAAAAATATTTTATTGAGAAAATTGCAATTTTTGAAAATTTTCCGGAAAATTTTCGAACATAAATCTTACTGTTGATGAGACGGGAAAGAGATCCGCTCAAGGCCGCATTTGCAAAATATATATTTTTTTAGTCCCCGTTGGTGAGGAAAGAATTTTGCGACGTCGATTGGATCAACAACGACGACGGGTTGAAGACATGTCGGAGATGTTGAGCTTCTCGAGAGAGGAAAAACAAAAACTAGAGCTCGAGGTGAGCGCATGGTCAACCACATATATTGGTGACAATATGAAATTTGAGAAAGTATTGGGAAATTCCTGTACATTTCTACCCTACTTTGTACCTAAACTCTTATAATTAGTGGAGAAACTCCTAGGGTTAGCTGAGGGGAGCGAACATTTATTGCAACAATGGAGATGAGCAAGGAAGATATTTTTCCGTCGGAAAATATTTTTTTCGTGGGAAAATTACTGAAAATTAGTGATCATGCAGGGTGATTAGAAAAAGGCGCAGCTCACCTGCTTCCTCGTTAATGGAGTTTCACAACAACCCGTTCTACGTGAAGTGGCGTAAAATTCGGTGAAAAACTAGTTGATATTCGTAAAAATTATCAAAGAGAAATTATCTCCATATGGAATCGTAATTATTATTAATTAAAAAATTGATTAATAAATGACTTTCAACTTTCCTCAGTTTTTCAGCATTCTATGATGGAAATAAAATTTTTGGAAAAACTGTCGTTGTTCATGCTGAGATGTAGACAAGTGAAAATCTACAGTATCAACTCGGCGTAGTTTCACCACGCGTGAAGTGGCGTCGTAAAACTTCATGCGAAAAAGGCGATATGAAGTGAATTGAAAAAATTTCGCGAAGCACCTCGGTGAACGCGGAAAAATTGCAGCATGCCACGTGTCTTACGCGTCCTTCGCAAAGTGGACTATGTTTTTCACTAGTGCTTTTTTTCATATCACTAGGGTGAAACTCGAAGGTGACATCGCTTTCATTTCGATGATTGTGATAGAATTTATAATTTTTATAATAAATATCTTATGGTTGTGGCAGTAAGATACGGAATAGGTCCGAATGAGGCCGTCGAAAATTTCTCAGATAAAAACGGCAAATGTCGCGTTAGATGAATCTCAAAGTTTACTCAACGACAAGATCGTGATGAAGGAAATTTTAGAGAAGGAATTGTAAGTTTCAATGGGAGAGTAAAATTATAGCGATTTTACCTGACGCTGATTTGAGATTTTTGGGAAAGTTGGTGGGAAAAATTTTTTGCGCTGATTTCTTGAATGATCAACTGTGTAAAATTTTGTGAAAGTTTTACCGATAAATTTTGATTTTACCGCTTTTTTTGGAAAATTAAGTTTATATGGCGTCGATATTCGTCGCATTCAGATTTTTGTGAGTAGTCGA